GGAAATAACCAAAGCAGAAACCAGTTTGTCATTTTGAGTTTTGGGGTAGATCCTTTCAACTGGCAATGAAAATTTCACTGAAATCAGTGAGATGGCATGTATCACGCCTGCCTGGTGCTCTCATGGACACGTTCTCAATATATCAGCTGAGCGTCAGTTATAACGTAGCTCAAGTTGGTAGATCATCATCATCATCATCATCATAGTTTATTTAATAAAGCAGGTTGAGGGGTAGGCAAGACATTAAGTTCTGATGGGACCTGCACTAATTAAAATTATCAATTAATAAAAACCTAGATAGTGAATAAATCGAAAATGGGTATATAAGTAATGACAATTAAAATAAATAGATATTAAGAACAACAAAGAGTGAATATTAAAAAGTATTTAAAGTCAAAAGATTTGTTGGAAACGCTGCAAGAAGCTTTAGCAAAACTGATAGATTTCAGAACTCTCTTATTTTCCTTAAGTTTTCTCTTGAAAGAAGTTAAGTTTGAACAGTTCTTGATGTCTTCAGGAAGGAGGTTCCAGGATAGTGTGGCTCTGTGCTTAAACTAAGATCTTCCCATTTCTGTTCTTGGTCTATGAACGTCAACTTTTAAGGATTTTCTTGAGTCAAAAGGAGTCTCGGATTTGACTATTAAGTCATTTAGGGGTTCCAATGGCCACCACAATTGGTTGACACTTGGTCAGTGCATTGGTGGACACTCAGCCAACACCTTGATCGTTACGCTGCCATCAATAGTCAGCAGCCTATTGGTCAGTTGTCAGTAAAATTGAAGAAGAGCTCCCCAAAATATCTGTCAGCCAACTGTCGGCCGACTGTTGGCGAATGAAACACAGAAAACACAACAGAAACACAACGAAAACACGGGCTCGTGCAATTTTGTGAGTCTTTGAAAAAATTTACTCGTATTGTTAAATCTAAGTAACTAAACAATTCCAATTTTAGCAGAACGAAATGTGTCAGTCAGATACTACACTCAAGTTCACATAAATGAAGATCGATATGCAGAATAATGCCTCGCACTCGAAATTTACCTTTATCGCATGGCGTTCGTCAAAATTTATTTTGGCTAATTGTGAAAGTTCAAACTTACCAAGATGACAGTCTATTTACACGTTTCTGTATTTGTTTTCATAGTGTTTCCTGTGTTTCATTCACGAACAGTCGGCCGACAGATATTTTGGGGAGCTGTTCTTCAATTTTACCCAATTGTCAGTGGTGTATTGGTGGAGTGGCACTGGTTTGTGTCTATTGTTAACCGTTGTTTTGCTGAGATGGCAGCCGTCTTCTAACCCCTTCCCTTACCCACAGGAGACATGAAAGAACAGAGGCTACTGCCTATTCCCTTGTGTTGATAGAGCAAAGATACGACTTGGGTTAATAGTAAAAGAATAGAACTTAGAAACAATCTCAGCCAGTGTTGGTAAAGTATCGGCCAAGTACCATCCAAGTGTTGGTTAAGTATTAGCCAAGTGTTGGCCAAGTATAGTCTAACAGTGTGTTGGTCAAGAAGCAACCAATGTCGTTTGACAAGTCAACTGAGTGTGGGCCTATATATGGGCCAATACTCAGTCAATATGTTGACCAACACTCTGTTGACATGTCCACCAGTACTCGGTCAAAACTTGACAAACAGATGCCTTAGTACACAATATCCAACACTGATCTCACAATTTATCATAACTACCAAACTATGACTGAATTTTAATGTTGCAGTTTGATTTTGGTCAATCAGCATTACTGAAAAATGAAAGGAAACATGGGAAACATGGATTGATGATCAGTCTTTCACTATCACAAAGATTTAATGAGATACAATGAAATATATGAAGTTCATATATTTTGAACTGCGGTATTAGATACGTATGATGCACGATCCTCGCAGTAGATAGCGCTATTTAAGCAATAGCGAAAATCAGACCTGATTTTTTTTCAGGTCTGATTTTCGCTATTGCTTAAATAGCGCTATCTACTGCGAGGATCGTGCATCATACGTATCTAATACCGCAGTTCAAAATATATGAACTTCATATATTTCATTGTATCTGATTTATCACTTTCACGGGTTTATTACGAATCAACTTAACGGCCTGCTCCCAGTTGGCTTGTTAGCTCAATTGGTAGAGCGCTGCACTAGTATCGCAGAGGTCAGTGGTTCGAATCCCGTACAGGCCTGATTTTTTTCAGGTCTGATTTTCGCTATTGCTTAAATAGCGCTATCTACTGCGAGGATCGTGCATCATACGTATCTAATACCGCAGTTCAAAATATATGAACTTCATATATTTCATTGTATCTGATTTATCACTTTCACGGGTTTATTACGAATCAACTTAACGGCCTGCTCCCAGTTGGCTTGTTAGCTCAATTGGTAGAGCGCTGCACTAGTATCGCAGAGGTCAGTGGTTCGAATCCCGTACAGGCCTGATTTTTTTTCAGGTCTGATTTTCGCTATTGCTTAAATAGCACTATCTACTGCAAGGATCGTGCATATGTACAAAGATTTAAGTTGGAGCTGTTTACATTATACATTTCTCAATCTGTCAAAGGTGTGATTCATTTTGCAGCTTACTGAAAATTAGAAGTCATGCTCATTCACACTAAGGAAAAATTAATTACCATAAAATATCAAAGGTCATCAGCTTATCAATAACATTAGTGGAGATCAATTACTTAGTTCATCATGCTTCTTTCAATATTTACCCTTTCTGCATTTCAGAATACCAAATTTTCAAATAACTCTTGTGCAGAAGATTCGTCTCTTCCATGGGAAAGATTTCCATATAACAAAGGTAATCTGTTGTTTTGCCTCTGCTTTCTTTTATCCAAGAATTGTATACATAATGAAGTATGGGGTTATATGGAAATCTTGCCCTTGCATGTACGGCTTTGATAAAACTAAAGGTTTCGCTCTGAGCAAATTTAAAACTGTGGACATACCAGTGTTCGGGCCTTAGGCGTATATATTTCCACGTGAGTCACTTCCAATTAAAAAATGCCGGAAGTAAAAAAAAGTCACGTGGGTGACCAATTTTGACGAAAATAATAGCATTGTTTGATTTGTGTCCATCTCCAAATAACGAGAAATATATCAAGAAAGTACAGGACAAAAAACATGGACAAAATGGGGTCGAAAACAGTGGACAGAAACAGCTGTAATTCATCACAGTTTTATCCCTTCGCGTAAAACAGCTGAATTTCACGCAATCTTTTAACAGCAGGAAAAACTATACAACAAAAGCTCAAAGGAATCTTCTAATGATTCATTTTGAAGTAAAGAGTTTCCTGATAAAAGTGCAACTGTACTGACATCAAAAAATGCAATAAACAATCATAGCCATTACGTCAGGCAATCGTGCATGAGTAAAACTCGAAATAATTTGCTCCACTTACTTCGCGATCAATATGAGATCTATGTGCTAACTGCTTCTAACAACGCGTATTATGACCTTACAATCAAATGAAGTAAGGACTTTCCTCTTAAAAATGTCCAATACAGCAATACACGAGAGAAAACAGCCACAGCTAGGCACGAAATAGAAAGGGTTCTGCACTGGTTTCGGTCCGCTTGGACATAGCTAAATTTCCATGACGTAAATGAACGAACGCTACCTTCAAAAATCTTGTAAAACAATAACAACCCTTCCTCCAAGAGGGGACAAAGAAACCTTTTTCTAAAATTAAGCAAGTAGATGGAATGGTTATCAAGTTACCTGAGTTTTCTGGTCGGCACAGTTAGATGTCAGTAGCCATGTAACAGAGTCCGTAATCCGCCATGCTTGCCTAACGAAGTTGATTCGGGGTATGGTGAGTACCAATAGTCTATTCGCCTGTGGAGGAGTCCTGTAGGTAGCTTTGTTCATGCGTGGAAGTACATGCGTTGTATCCGATTTCACAATTCGACTGATCCGAACATTTCTGCTAGGTTTTCGGAACCAGCACTCATTTACATGTCACTGAATAAGAATAGCCTCTATTGTGTTATGCTTCGTTCTTCACAATAGAGGCTATTCTTATTCAATGACATGTAAATGACTGGCGGGGTCTTCTGCAGTTGCTCCTATATAAAAGTTCTGGAGCTATGGGATCTCCAAAGAATGCAGGAATCTAAAAGAAGGCACATCTGTGAGAGTTGTATAAAGGAAGCTCCTAATTTAGATAATCATATGGTGCCCCGAGTCTATAATCGTCTCCCAAGCGAAGAATCATTATGATTCGGCGAAGAAGCCAAATAGTTCAAAGAATCCAATTATTTTTACGAACCTCATTCGCTCCGAATAGAGGAGATGACGGATTCACTTTTGGTAATGCCAAGCCTGCTATGTGATTGGTTTATTTCCAAAAAGGGGATCGAGCTTGTAAAATAAAAAATTTGCAGTTGTGAAAAAAGTTTCCAGGATTGATTGGATTTTACCTATGCTCGATGGGTTGTTCAAAATACTCACAAAACTAAAACCATTAGTGACTTAAAATATAAGTAGCGTTTTCACACATTTGGGGCCATGGAGGTATCGAGCAGGGACAGTGGAGCCTATTTTCAACTGGGGAGGGGGGGGGGTTGAAAACGAGCATCGTGGGTGCCAGTTTGTATGGGGGTCTAGGGTCATCCACCCTAGAAAAGTTTTAAATTTAGAGGCTCGGACATGGTATTTTAAACATTCTCCATGGGATATTTATCATCTTTTAGTTTCCGACGGGTTTTGTACAAGGTCATAGCTCTTTTAAAAATGCTTTCTTTTCTTTTTTCCTCTCTCTTTTATTCTTCAGACGTACCTCATACTAAAACAATATAAAAAGTAGTCCTCGCAAAAAGGGGTGGGACTAAAGCCCCCCAGCCCACCCAGCTCCGCCGACCTTATCGAGATCAGCATCAGAAGGTGTAACAATCCATTAACTTTTTTATTCCGAGCATGATTTAAGAGAGTGGAAATCGAATTGAATTTTTTTACATTTTTTAATAGATTAGAATAAATCAATGCAAAAACCTGCTGATCTTACTTGAAAAAAATAGGCCCCTTGGCATTGTTTACAAGACTTTAAGGGAAACATCGAATCTATTTGACTGTAAGTAAATGCAATCCAGTTCCTGAGCGCTATTCTTCCTGATGTGATATTCGAAAATGCAACACTCAAGTAGTGAATAAGTGTCGATTATAAAACGCAATCTGCGACCATATGAAAGTCAGAATTATTCAGCATCAGTAATTGACAAACCACTTTGTTCCAACTTTATCTGACGATTTACCACGATTCTCGTGCTTACCAACGGTCCAACGGGACATCTCTCTACGGCCTTTGGTGGAAACGATCGTGAACCACCAATACGCCCTTGGCTGGATCATCATTTCATTCGGATTGGGCGCCGACTGCATGCTCACGTGGTTAAGAGTTTGAGCAGCCACATGGTTTCCATCTGGTGACACGGCCAGGTTCTGAGCCTTGAATGAATAGCCTTGCTTTCTGTCTCCCTGTACACAGCGAACATCTGTTCCAGTCCTGACAGCCTGGACCAGATGAGTACGACCTCCGCTTACGACATTACCAGATGGATCATTCGACAACACCTGCCTCCATGATCTGGTGTCGATGAACCACTTCACTTTAAGCTTATCAGTGGAATCGCCACGATGCCTGTGTTCTCCTACATTATACTTCGTGGATCGTACGGTTCCCGTGGTAGAGACCATCAGCCAGTACCAGTAGACATCATCTTGGAATCTAGCCGGCGATGCCTTACTCACATGTTTCAAAGCCTGTGCTGTCACATGACCATTTCGCACAGAAAGGTTGTCAGCTTCAGCTGTGTAATAATTCCAATGAGGAAGCTGAAAGCGGACACGATGGCCGGACAATATAGCTGTTGTCAGTGTTTGGCGTGATCCAGAAAGAGGCTTCCCATTGGCATCGTGTTCAAAGATTTCCTTCCAGCAGCCATCAGCAAACCACTCTATCGCCACGGTATCATTGGTGTGGCCTCGGTCTTGGTGGATTCCAACAGTCCAGCGTGACATGTCACGCGATCCACGAGTGGTCACCATTGAAAACCACCAATAGGCATTGCTTTGAAACCTGATGGAATTGCCGTGAATGCTACTGCTTATGCTGTCTAAGCTTTGCCCAGAAACGCCTTGAGAGGTAGTAGCCACATTCTGGAGTGGGAATGAATACCGTTTGTCGCTGACACAACGAACATCCTGACCCTTTTTAACGCTACTTACAAGTTCGTGTAAGCTACCTTGGACTCCATTGCCATTAGCCTGGTGAGAATATAATGGCTTTGGAAGAAGACCTGCCAACTGTACAAACCATTTGATGCTTCTTTTTACTCTGTTGGTTCCACGATGCCTATGCGAGCCCACGTTGTACCTGGTCATCTCCATGATACCATCGGTTGACACCATTACCCACCACCAGTAAGCATCAGTTTGAAACCATTCCCATGAGCCCTTGCTTACGTGTTGTAGAAGCTGAGCAAACACATGGTCGCCATCCACGTGCACATTGTCGGGTTCGGTGCTGTAACTTGTTCCAATGACAACGCGCACACGTGCACCTGACAACACAGCAGATACAAGGGAGTATTTCCAGCCTTCTATTGCGTTTCCGTTAATATCATGCGAATAGGCCAGTTGCCATGGTAACGAACAAGACTTACATGGTTTGTCTAAAGGTGAAAAGAAATAATTAAAAAGACAAGTTGGCTACGTGGATCAAAGTCGTGGTTATAAGAGGCATGGGTGGGAGAAGGGTGAATCAAACCTAACCCCTCCCGATTTTTCATCCAAAAAGTTGTTGAAAAAGAAAGAAAAAACAGTGACAATTTCAGATAATCAGTGAGACAAAAGTGTAGAACCTAGCCAGACATGGTTCATCTGCATATATAGCCAAATAATGTTATACATTTCTAGTAAATATCTGTACATTTCGCGCGGTCAAATTAGAAAAAAAATATTTCAACAATCAGTTCCAAGAGAGCTTTCAAACACTTCAAATACAAATTGTAAAGCTGTCAGACTCACATAATTTTTTTTTTTTCGTGTAAGTTTCTATGCATTTGGAGAGGTGTCGGTGACGAGGGGGAAATCACCCCTCCCAAAAAAACCATCTGTTAGTGTGGCATTCCCATTTTAAGCGATTTCCTTTTGCGTTCCTAATCACATTTTATACGTTTTGCACGCGCATTTTATTATTGTTTTTCGCGTTTTTCTACTCGCGTTGATTTATACTCTGTTAGATTTTTTCGTATAATTTTACTTTGTTTGATTTCATTTGCATAAAGCTTCTCGGTAGCATTAGAGCATCAAAGTTCTTTAGATCAAAGTCAATTATTTTACTGCCATCTACTCTTAGTTTTCCCTCTTTCGTGTCTCAAGATCATACAACGTTTGTGAGTGTTTTTTCCTTGTCCGATTGCTTTTTCTCTGTTGTTTACGTTTCTATTACTTCTGCTTGTATTTTTCAATAACTAGTAATCATCTTGTTCGTTTAGCAACTGCGATCGGCGGTAATGTAATAAAGTTAAGGCCCGTTGAAAGCGATCTGGTTGGCCCCCCAGTTAGCTCAATTGGTTAGAGCGCCGGATTGTGTTGTGCGGGAGGTTGAGGGTTCAAGCCCCGGCCGGATCAATTACTCATTTAAAATAATTGAGGAGAATTTTCTACCTTTCTGTAATATCTAGAAATGGATAGAAATTTTAGTCTTCTCGGATAAGGACGAATAAACCATAGGCCCCGTCTCCTGCAGAGTTAGGGGTAGGAGACGTTAATTTCTCACCACGAGATTACA